TAAAAATTCTACAAATTTAAATAATATTCATATAGAAGAAATAAATAATATTGAAATAAATAATTGTACATTTAATAATATATGTGAAAATTTTAATTGTAATCATGGTAAATGTATACATGATTTTGATCGTGGTAAATGTTTATGTAATTATGGATGGGAAGGTGATTATTGTAATAAAAATATTGATGAATGTTTACAAGGAAATAATTGTTCAAAAGAACATAGTATTTGTCAAGATCATATTGATGGTTATTATATATGTAAATGTCATCAAGGTTTTACTGGAAAATAGTAAGTTAAATTGAAAATTTGAATAAGAAAATCATTATTTGTGTCGTAATGATTTTTGTTACAGTTGTTGCCATTCTTTTTTTAATGTTTTTTACGACTAGACACATTAATTTTATCAGTAGAGTCAAACAGCTGTATATAAGTATATATCGATGAGATTATTAACAATCAAAATCAATGAACATCGATAAAGTGTTCAATGGTTGTAGAATGTACAAGTTATTTTTAATTAAATGAAACGAATCTGACCATAGATAAGTAGAATAGTCGTACGAATCATATGAATATGAACTAAAAGAAATGTTGAAGTGTAAAAGTAAAAATTTGAATCACTTTTAGAGTTTATAATTCTTCTATCATACGTTGTGTCTGTATTTACCTTGTTGAAATTTTAAATCATCTCTTCAGATGAGAAAATTTCAATAAAATACTGTAACAGATGTTGATTTATGATCAAAAGATTGCATATCAAACTACTTCCTTATACACATTTATGAACGATTAAATAAAAGGAAGTTGAAAGAAAAATGTGTCTCGAAATAGATAAAATAAAATAATCTTCCTGTGATTAGTAACAGTAGCTTAGTCGTGCTTTACATTTTAATTCTACAGGAATTAAGGCAAACATTTTTTTTTTCTTGATTCTGTCTGATACAAATCGATTAAACTCTTATGGATTTTAATTGTACATTGTTGTCTATACTTGCATGTCTTTAGTTTTTTGTATTCTAATGAACTTCGGGCTATATAATTCGTTATGTATTCACAAGGTACTGTGTGCTTTGGAATTTTACTTTAATCTTTACAAATTAATCAATAAGGAAAACTTGAAATGTCATAATAAACTTGCGAATTGTTATTAATATTTTGAAGAAATATAAAAATTCATCTTTTTCTTTTAGTTGTGAAACAAATATCGATGAATGTTTATCATCTCCATGTGCTAATAATGGTATATGTATAGATTTAATAAATGGTTATTATTGTAATTGTACTAATAATTATATAAGTACAAATTGTTCAATATCACTTAATGAAACATGTTTTGGTTATTTAAAATCATGTCAAAATAATGGTACATGTATTATAAAAAGTGCAAATCTTTATGTTAATAATCCTCAAACTGAATGTCAATGTCATGATGGTTATAGTGGTCAATGGTGTGAAAATGATTTATGTTTAAAATTAAATTGTCAAAATAATGGTACATGTCAAAGATTACCTAATAAAAAAGCTAAATGTTTATGTACACAACAATGGTATGGTGATAGATGTCAATATGATATAAATGAATGTATTATAAATAAAACAAATATATGTTTAAATAATGGTACATGTTATAATTATCCTGGTAGTTATAAATGTCAATGTCAAGAAAATTATCTTGGAATACATTGTGAAAGAAAACATAGTTGTTTAGAACATGCACCATGTTTTAATAATGGTCTATGTCGACCTGATGGTGAACATTATTATTGTGAATGTTTATCAAATTTTACAGGTATATACACAAAAAAAGAGAAAATTTAAAATAGATTAAAAAAAAAAATAAAATATTTTTGTTTAAGGTTTACATTGTGAATTTCCAACATGTGAATCAGTGCCATGTAGAAATAATGGTACATGTTTACCAGATAGTGAACAAGGATTTTTATGTAATTGTACAGGAACAGGTAGATATAGACAAAACAAAAGTAGAAAAAATATTGTATCTTTAATATATAAATTTACATAGGTTATCAAGATGAAAGATGTACAACAGAAATTGATGAATGTCTGAGTAGTCCATGTCAAAATAATGCAACGTGTATTGATCAAATCGGTGGATATATTTGTGCATGTTCAAAAAATTTCTTTGGACTTCAATGTGAAAACAAGGTATAATAATTCACCGTGAAAATGAAATTTTTTAAGGATAAAAGTGTAAACCAATTGGTTGAGTCACTGCTTCTGTTTTCACATGAAAATAGATATTCAATATTATTGCATGGAACTAACAAAGGAATCTATCTAACTGATAACTTCCATATAAGCTCATAGGTAGGACTCTAAAAGTTTCAGCTCAAATGAATGATGTTCTTCCGGGAAAGAATCACCAGTGATTTATCTACTGGGTGGGCGCCGCCTACCCGAAATTTCGACTCGCCCAGTCGGGAAACGAAACCCAGATAAAACACTGAGAATCACTACCTTCTCATAAAAGCTCCGACAATATACTTTGAGAAAAACTTATTTGTTTAAGCTGAAAATTCAATAAAGTAAAACATAACTCGAGAAGAAAGGCTTATAATGGTAGGAACTCTTTCAGGGTTTTATCTACAATGTGAATCTGCCTATGATCTGCAACAAAAGTTAATCATAGAGAGATTGAAGACGTTCATCTTTTTCTATCAAAGAGAATTGTTTCCCAAAAGCAAGATACGAAACTCATTTTGAACGTCCGCGACACAAATCTATTTCATATTCTTCTTAACTTGAGACTTTAAACTTTTGTTCAACATTACTTTTTATTAAAACTAATTTTTGAAGTTCATTATATCAAAATTTTTTATTTAAAAATTCGATAGATCATACTGATTTTTAAATGTTAGTAAAAAGTCAAATTTCATTATATAGACTATTGATCATGAAAACCTTTAAAAATTGTTTAACTCATACTGAGATAGCGACATCTTTTCTATGTAAAATTTAATTTTCTTTATTTTTTTAGAAATTTTTTGCTTCATTAGGATTTTCTTATCATTATGTTATATGGCCTGGTGTAACAATACTATTATTATTAGTAATTATTTTATTAACTGTTATGATAAGTCGTATACGTGAAAGTCGACGATCACGAGGTACATATCGACCAGCATTAAATGAAAATGGTCAAAGTTCACGTGTAGAATTTAGTATGATCTTAAAACCACCACCTGAAGAACGATTAATTTAGGAAAAGAATTCTCTCTGTAAACAAGAAAACGAGTGTCAGATATGATTAGTCATTTTTTTTTCTCCTATCATCATCGTTATTTTTTTTCTTTTTTTGTTCTTTCTTATTCTGTATGTTTGTAGTAGGTGTTGTTGTTGTCATATTGATTGCTATGCATGCAAAATTTGTATCTGATGCAATGTAGTTTGCTGTGGTCTTTTTTTTTGTTGTTCTTTTCTTTATTCTTGTTTATAATGAAAATGAATAAATTTAAATTCTTATTCTTAATTGAAGATTTTCTTTTGTTTGTTTTCTTCTGTGAATTATGTCAACAATATCATCATCGTCATCATCGATTTTTGATCATCTTGATCAAGTAGCTGTTATTGCTGGTGGTTTTTTTGCTGGTACAGCTTTATATATGACGATTGGTGAAGTACCAGCTATGCGTGCATTTGGTCTTGATGAACATTGGCGATTTTTTCCATATATGTATCAAAGAGCAGCTGTATCACAAATTATATTTACGTCAGTTGCTGGTGTTGCAAGTATTGTACATGGTATACGTATTATTCGTGCACCATTTCATCGTAATTTATGGATTGCTGCTGGAACAATATTTCTTGGCATGTTACCTTATACATTTATTTTTATGTTACCAACAAATTTAAGTATAATTGAAGATAATAAACGTGTTCAAGATGGAAATGAAAGTCAAATTAATCTTGGTACAAGAAAAGAATTATTAGATAAATGGGCTATGCTTCATTGTGTTCGTACTCTTGGTTCAATTATTAGCTTTGGTGCTATGGTATTTGGACTTAGTCATCATAAATCACTTCATTTAGGATGGTAGAAAAAAGACATAGAATTATTTTTCTCTTATCTATATCAAAAATATATCATTCTTACTTTAGTTAATCAATTGAAAACGTTCCTTATTTCTTTAGAAAGTTTATAAAAATCTTATAATAGAATGTATTTGTGTTATATGTAACAAGTTTTCTATATGCTTGTAATAAAGCTGAAAAAAAAAACAACACTGCAAAGTTTTATGAAAGAAATAATTGTCATTAGCACTGTAATTTATCTAGATAGTCCAGACTTGATAGTAAAAGCTAGACTTGACATTTCGTAATAATAGATTATATTTTGTTTTCGATGCGTATCCATTTGTTCATGTTCTCTTGTCTTTGTTTTTCTTCTTTCCTTCGAAACCTAGCCGTCTACAGAAAGGAAATACAGAAACAAAGTTCATCTAGTTTTTAATTAAGAAATTCTTTAGATGAAGAACTATGCAAATTTTTGCTTATATCACTTAAACAAACTCACAAATACAATTAAATGTGAGAAATTAGGCCGATTATTTTTGAACATTTAATGAAATAAACACTTGAAGAACTTGTTTTAGTGTATTGCTTTTTTGTTGTATTGACACCATTTTTAGCATACTAAAAATATGTCGAAGATGACTAGACATTACAGGAGACGAAAGAGAACATCACCAAGAGGATACATATCGAAGATAAAATGCAACCTGATATTATCGTCATGTGTCATAATAAAGAATTCTTATCGAAACTTTATTGTGATAATGTTAGTTGATGAATGATGAGATATCAGAGAAATGTAGAGTATTATTTTAACTAAATATATATGCCGAGAGAATTTCAATAACCTTTTTTAACAAATAAAAATTTCTTCATAATTAACTTCGGACTACCGTAAATAATCTTTCTTTCTTAGTTAAATGAGAGTACAATCAATATAAAAAAAATGTTTTTGAGAACGCTTATTTATTGTGACCGGCAAAACGTAAACGATATTCATCTGTCAAAGCTTTTTCCACACGTTTAAATAATGGTCGAGCTTGTCCAATAGTATGACCACTTGGTAAATAACAACGAAAAGCATTCTCTAATGCATAAACACTTTCCTTAATATTAAGTTGTTGACGAATTTCATCCGATGTTGTTGGCATAAATGGTTGTAATACCAATGAAAGTAAATAAACAAGATTTAATGCAAGAGCTATACTTATTTCAGCATCTCGTCTAAAATAAACTTTCTATGTTTAATGATAAAGATGATTAAAATAAAAAAACTTTACCTATCAGCATCAGAACCTTTACATTTCGCCCATGGTTGTTTCATTTGTAAATATTGATTACCATAACGAGACATACGCAAAACACATTTGAGACCATCACGAAGTCTAAAAGAAAAAGTGAAACCTAAATGAAATATGTAAGAGAAAAAGAATGAACTTACCTCGTCTTTTCCATAGCTTCTAAATAAGCATTTAGTTCATAAGTAATTTGAGCAACAAACAATTGATCTAATTGTGTTTCTAATTGACTAACATCACTAATTTTACCAGCGAAATTTTTTTCACAAAAA